TGGGTCCTAAATCCTAAGTGTCTGAGATCTTAACAGTTATTGCATCAATGATCTGTTAACATTAAAATCAATAAATATGCTGTAACTATTTTGCTCTAGGCAACTCAAGGGCTCAGGTAAAGTGATTACTATATGAATAATTGTCCAAAATAACATTAAATGCATAGGGTTTTTTGTTAAACATACTTTCGTCGCCGGCCGGCCGATATATGCCGCGCATTAAGTGGGCCTGTCTGTCAATTAATCCCCGGGCCACTTTTTCCCCCTAGTCCGCCCCTGATGGTTCCCACACGGGCAACGTTTTGAGACCCGTGTTGTGTACTTGGTTTCGGTGCTAATAAACGCCTGTGTTCAACCCAAACCCTGCTCTTTCCGTCCCTCTTTGAACCCTGTGTGAGCGGAGAGTCTCAGACCGACCTCCATCAATCCCTTCCCGTCTTCACCACCACCAGTGTTAGACCCCAGGACGAGGGGGGTTTATCGGCTCAGTTTTCCCCTCCCGAATGATACTCCAGCACGACGGGTTCTAACCGCCAAACACCGTTACATTCATCTGTGTATTCTTGGCAATATTTTTAAATCAAAACAAGTCTCTCCTGATATAACTATTGATGTCCTTACCTCAGGGACACCTGGATGTCCTCCGTGTTGATCATGTCTTCTGTGTTATCCATTCCTTCTGGGTTTTCTGCAATGTTTGCTTCTTCCTCCCCTGGATCTTCACCTCTAAAGCAAGGAGCGAAAAAATATATACGGATAAGGGATTAAAACGTCTTTTTCTACAACGAGGTGAAGAGAGAGTCCTCTCCTGTCAGACTGAGAGGCTCTGATAACTACAGCTCAGGTGTTTTTGGATAGTTAACTTTACTCTGAGTTGTCTCAGTGTTTCTCAAACGTTTTGGTCTATCTATGTAAAACAATATTTCCTAGGCACACCTTAATATAATTTTTTGTTATAAAAAAATGACAGAATAAATAAAAACTGGTATGAAATCATTCTAATTTAAACTATAGGGCAGTCAACAAAAAATATAGTTTAAAAGGTAACTGATTCGTAAAATATGCATAAATAATAAGATAATAAAGCTAATTTTTTGCCCTCAAAGTGCACCATATTGATGCATTTAACTCCAAAATGCCCCCTGGATTTTAGTGTTGATTATATTTCACATCATTATTCCAGATCTACAAAGCTATAAGCGATTAACTCCCCTGCTTAACGTCTCACTTTGTCCGTTACACCTGCTCTCTCCCCTCCTAGCGATTGTCATGGCGGGTCGCGGCCCTCCTCCACTCCTCCACCTCCCGTTCCTCCGAATCCAAGGTCCAAATCAAGCTTAAACCCCTCCTCTTCAGACCGACCTCCATCAATCCCTTCCCGTCTTCACCACCACCAGTGTTAGACCCCAGGAGGAGGGGGGTTTATCGGCTCAGTTTTCCCCTCCCCAATGATACTTCCGCACAACGGGGTCTAACCGCCAAACACCGTTACATTCATCTGTGTATTCTTGGTAATATTTTTTAAATCAAAACAAGTCTCCCCTGATATAACTATTGATGTCCTTACCTCGGGGACAACTGGATGTCCTCCTTGTTGATCATGTCTTCTGTGTTATCCATTTCTTCTGGGTTTTTCTGTCTGTCCACAAGTACTCTTCAAGTAGCTACCAGATGAAGAAAGTAGGCTACTAAGCGTTGTGAACAAAGTGTTTGTCTGATTAGTCTTCCTCAACGTTTCCAGCAACCTTCCACTCTTGAGTTTTTTTCCAACCGCTGTAGTCTACAGCGGTTGGAGCTCAATCAGGCCAAACGTTTTGATCATTCAAATACAATTTATTTGAAAGTTCAAGTTTTTATCCTGGACTTAAAAAAAAATACAATGAAATTATTTAATAAATAATAATTTCCAACGTTTTTCAGGTTGAATGTTATTTTGATTCAGTTGAGCAATCCTTTTGAATAAAACATGTTTGTCTTCATATTTCCCTTTTTTATAAATATTTTTGCAGATTTATGAGTAGGCCTATTGTGCATAGAAAATGTTGAGTTTTATTTCTCACATCACAATTCGTAAGCCTATTTACACTTTATGGTGTTTGCAAAGCCAGCTGTAAGCACTAAGCAGTGCTTCAAAATACTGAAAGTTCCAGATCACTAAATGTTGTGGAGTGTGCACCCCTCAAAGCAACCCATACATCAAAACCCCTGTCTTAAAAATGGCAGGTAATCCAATCTACCAATTATTCTTTACAGTGAAATCATTTATTTCAGAACCCATATTTATGTGTAGTATTGGAAGTAAGGAGGCGTGTGGCACAGTGGATTAGTGCACTGATCTTCGAATCAGAAGATAGCAAGTTTGAGTCCCACTGCAGTCAGCGTTGTGTCCCTGGGCAAGACCATAGGGCAAGACACACTTCACCCCAAAATTGCTCCTGTGGGGATTGCCCACAGTATTGAGTATGTAAGTCGCTTTGGATAAAAGTGTCTAAAATGTAATGTAATCAGGTATTTTGTAAAAGTATAGTTTACTGTTACCAATAAAATTCGTTTCTTAAAGTGGACCTATCATGCTATATTTGAATAATATAGTGTAGGAACATACCTATATAAGGCATATTTATACTTTTCATTTTTCAAAATACCAAACAGATCATGCATTTTAGCCATTCCTCATTTCGCTCAATTTAACACTGCCTTTCATGCTCGGATTCAGTGAGGACAGCACTATCTGGTGGCCTGAAATATGTACTACAGCGTCTCCAGCGCTTTGGAACGGCAATGTCCGTGGCTGTCTCCTCCTGATTGGTGGAGTTGGCCCAATAGCCGGAGCGCAACTTCTGTGACGACATAAAAGTGTTCAAATCTGGATCAGTCTGCATCAGATCCGTTGCAGCCCCTTTTTTTAGAGATTTGGGTATGGAGGAAAATAGAGAGGGTTGTGTTTTCTGACACTTGGTGAGTTCCCTGGAACACCGGGGACACATATTCATGTGTAAAAGACTTACAAAAGTGCATTTTGCATGATAGGTCACCTTTAAATAAGACTATAGTAATAGGATCAAAATGTATTGACAAAGGTACGGCCCTCAGAATTATTTTATTGGTTTGATTGTAATTATTGAATTCTTGTGTTAACCACTTTAATATTGCAGTTGGTGTAAGAGCTTTTCTTTACTATGTACAGTACTTTTACATTACTTGAGTAAAAGTTGGCATTGTCCACCACTGACTATAGAGAGAAAATGAAAACCTTCAGGACATAGGGGCACGCGCACCTTTCCAAAAATAGAATTATATTTAGAAGCATATCACCAACGGAAAAATAAATCAATAGATTTAGTCCAACATCCATACTAAAACGAAAGCTTCAATGGTGTGAGCATCTAAACAGCCGTGAAATAAATCTCTCCTATACATATCAAAATTCAGATTTAATGAGATCTTTGAAAAGCATATTTCACACGCAGCTTAAACAATCCACAATAAATGACATTTCATACATTTAAAGCTAACGCTCACACAACAAATATACCAAAATATACAAAGCCCTTGAAGTCATACAGTAAGAAACATCCTCCTTCCTGCGCTGCTGAACTTTGTACTTTTATGCAAAACTAAATACATGCAGGGCGGCGCTGTGACACTCCATTCACACTATGCTACAGTTATTTCAGTCAGTTGAACACACGCAATTTTTGCAATATAATATATTTTGCATTACATGGTGCATCAATTACTTTTTTATGAGGCCTAGTGGACGTGTAGCTGTTGTCTTCATACAGGGATAATATGATTCAAGTAATCATAAGACCTTGATTCTGCAACCATTTTTACATATCTTCAAATTCAATTTTTCCCTCCTACTGGCAATCAGATCTCAATAAACACCCCAACACCACTTTTTCTGCAAGTTTATGTCTTCAACTAATTCAACTTAAGGAAATTCGAGTGCAGGACGATAGAGGCTCATTTTAAAGCAATTCCTCCATTGACACAAAGATCAGTAAGTCACACACATTTTCATCACCCAAGTCTTTCGCTACATGGTGTATTATGTGAAGCGTTTATCTTTTGTGTTTCTGTATGCATGTATGAATGTAATCACACATATTATTCTTGTTGATATTACACTGTCATCATATAATATTTGGTTACGTTTGTTCTATAAAACTATATACATGACCTGTATATCCATATCTTAAGACCATCCCCCCCTCTCACTGTTCTCCAAGACTTCTTTATAAAGCCAGCTCTGTTTGAACTCCTGACTTTTGTCCATCAGCTCAAACAGTCGGCGATACTCCTCTGGATACACATGGCCTGTCAGAATGTCCTCCGACAGGCACATCTCTTCTAACAGCTTGCTCCCACTGTCTGGAGACCAGTGACTAGAGAAACGAACAGGAGAGGGAGACAAAGAGAGTGGAATGAAGGTCAGATGACGTGTTCAATGACAGATTATAATAATGCTTTAGTACTGATGCAATAAGAGGGAGACTAAGAGAACAATTTAAAACAGTTGTGCAATGTGTCTCGATAGCTTTGTGCTAGTGAAGTGTGTTGGATCAATGTACATTTGCAACGGAAAAATAAAAACCTGCATACAAGCTGAAGTGGATGGGGTGCAGATCTCTCAATGTCTAAACACCTGGGGGCGTTTCAGTCACAGGCAAAACAAGACGAAGCTTCCGTTTTGAGATTTTGTGGGATATTTCTTCATATTGTATATCGTTTTTGGACTCAGGACAGCAGGTTAACAACTGTCTTTTTCACTAAGTTTGTTTATAATGGGTCAGTTAACAGTTTCAAACAAAGTTTTGTCTGCCATAAGCTCAGTCAGTTCCCGTATATCGGTATCTTAATTCAAATATATATTGAAACTTTTCTGTATAAAACTTGCTTACTCGAGCATGTCGATGAGCTTATCCTTCCTCTTTACCAGTAACTGTTTGATCATCATCAGCAGAGTTGAAGCATTAGAAGGAGTGAGGCCATTAGAGAACAGATTAGCCCGCGGACGAAAGCGCACCAAGCACAGGTGGTCGTTGGGAAGCTGAGGGGAGAAAGAGGCAGAGGACACAGGGACACGCTATATTAAATGGAAAAATATCAAGCCACTTTACATCGCTGTTGTTGGGTCTGCTCATCCTTACCCTAGAGCGAGGGAAACTTTGTTTTGAAGTGTACACAAAGGATTCCCAGGGCTCCTGCGCAGACAGAAAAGCAGTGGTTGACATCAAGAAGACTCCCATAACATTTATCTTGAAAATGCTTGCTAATATGAAAGTGTGAGTAGCATCCCCCCTGGCATTAGCTTCAAGTATTTTTAAAAAGACAAAACACTGTAGAAAATGTTTAACTTGAAAAAAACGTTGTTTTCTTCTGTGTAAGTCTCAACCTAACTGTTTTTCATACAATGCATACACCATAATGCCTTAAACTTTACCTTGTGCAGGAGTTCAATATCACAGGCCATCTGCCAGAGGACAGCGAAGGGTCTGTAGTATAAATTTTGACCTGGACAGGAAACGAGTTTCTGTTGGAGGAATAACTGCATTCAATATTTGACACAAGGATAATAAACGGAACAATATTCAATTCAAAGTCTCCATCAGCTTTAACAAGTGATTATATTTTGTACTGAACACACACAATATTAGACTGTGATCAATAGATTGACTGGTCTTTAATACTTGAGAGGTTAAAATGTTGTAGTTCTTTACCAGGTATTCATTCTCCGAAATGAAGAAGTTGAGCTCTATTCTTCCATATCTGAAGACAGACTGCTGTTCAAACAAAGCGTAAATCATCTTCCACAGCGTGCCACGGATATTACGCATCGGCAGGATACCAAACACCTTCATTGGGACGTCTGGGGAGACACACACATTACAAAAAAAAACACACTTCAGGAGGATATTACACTATATAACGTACAGTGTTTACTCATTCCGGTGTGTTATTGTGAAAAGCTATAGGGAAAGTACATTGATGCATTGTGATTTTTTTAATCATAAAACATTTATCTATAGTTTGAAAACTGTGAGTTGCTGAAAAATTATCGAAAATATAAAATCGAATATTTCCAGCTGTATAGGCAATGGCAATAGAATAATACGTTCTGTATGAGGGAGGTGGGATTTGTTTACAGTCAGAGAGGCTCAACTTAAGGTGCAAAAAAATAGGGGTGCACCGAATGGGAAATTCTTGGCCGAAACCGATACCGAAAATAGGAAACAGTTGGCCGAAAACCGAATGCCCGAAAATGATTAATAGAAATATATATATATATA